ATCGTGATGTGTTTTAGGAAACTATGTGTATTGTAGTTTAAAGTATAAAACATATTTCTTACAGTAGGTAGTGTTCAAAAGAGTTGAAAGTCACTGACCTGAATGGGGGTGAGGTGGTGTTTAAACAAGTAGAATGATAGATTAGATGAGTGATTACAAATGGTCATAATGAGCTATGCAGACAGCACAAGTGTCTTCAGAAGGACAGCGATGGAATTCCTGCTGAGAGGAACCCTTGGGCTGAGACCTCAGGGAAGAGAGAGGATCAGGGTGTCAGTGCCTCAGACATGGGAGCAGCAGGCACAGGAGCCCTGGGCCAGGTAGACAGAAGTAGAAATAGTATGGACCATATTGTTTGACCATAACACAGCATAACTAGAATACAAAAATATAAGTAAACCCTAATGCCTAATAGTAATCTTTATCATGATTATCACCACCACCACTACCCTTCTTAAGCTGGCTCAAATAAGGAAGAATCAAAAACTAAGTTACATGTGTGGCTCAGTGGTTGAGGGTTGACCCATGCACAAGAGGTCGCCGGTTCGATTCCCAGTCAGGGCACATGCCCAGGTTGTGGGCCCAATCTTCAATGGGACGCATGCAGGAGGCGGCCAATCGATGTTCTCTCTTATCAGTGTTTCTATTTCTCTTTCCCCTCTCCCTTCCTCTCTCTCTAAAATCAATAAAGAAAAATTATTTTAAAAAAACAACTAAGTTACATAATATTGCCATTCTGACCTTTGATTGACCTCTTTTCACTATGTTGAGTTCTTTGTTTCTGAAAGACTTGTTTTTATGTTCTATGAAAGGTTTTGCTTATAGGCCAGCTCACTCTCGTCATTTTCTAGAATCTGCATTGACATCTGGTTGGTTGGCCTGTCGTGGGACTTCTAAACCAGGGTATCTCAGCCTTGGCACTCTTGACATTTGGGCTGGATAATTCCTGACCTTCACCAACTTGATATCAATAGCCTCCTTCTCCCTCCCCCCAGCTGTGACAACCCAAAATGCTTTCAGACATCAACACATATTCCTAGGATGGGGTGGGGGTGCAAAATGGAGAGCTTATCTAGAGAAAATTCCAGGCTAACATGAGATGAAGTTGCCCAGATTGAGAATACCCTCTTGCCATCTGCTCATCGAGAGAGGACATGATACCCCCCCCCCCCCCCTTAAGTAGAAAAAGTTAGGTTTTGTGACTGAGGATTCATAATGACTTGTAACAGGGGAAATCTGTATACATTACTCACTACTAGAGAAACTGTTGTGGAAGCATGGCGGGGGGTGCCTTGCAATGTGTACTATCCCAAGGTCAAAAAGGGATGGGGGTTGGTAATGGCTCAGCTGTTTTTATCTAAGTAATTGACTCCGTGCCTTTCCACACAGAAGTGGACACAGCCTTGGGCAAGCCTGTCCTGAGTTGTTTTCCCAGTAGTGTTGATTGGTTTCCTTTGTTCTCCATGTTTAATCCAGGCCATCTTGTGACCAGTGGCTTCTACTTCTGTAACAGGAGCTATTTGTTCTGAGGCCCCCTTTTCTCTAAATTGCTTTCCTGTCTGTTAATCTCCCATATTTTGCTCCATTTCTTAACCTCACCACCTTGCTCCCACTATATGCTCCACTGAAGTAACTCAGTTTATTCTGAGGTGGGGTTTTTGGAATATATCTTGTTACTGTGTTTTGGCAGTTGCCTGTTCCTGAAAAAATTCCATTCCTTAAACCTCTGCTATTTCAGAATAGTCTTGTGCAACAAATACCCTGTTAATTGCACATGGAAATGAGTTGTGATCGTTCAAAGGGCTCTCCTTAAAACTTCTTGAATAAGATTGTGGGTCTTACTAATCTGTTGAAATCTTTGAAAATTCCATCAGGTGGTTTATTCAACAAATACAGTGTGGGGCAAAAGTGGACGTACAGTTATGAGTATGTGAAACACAGGGTTTATTCTTGTATTATTATTTATTGTATTTTCATATGAACCTCTGTAAACTGACTTTTGCCCCACCCTGTCTGCATTAACATCCACTCTGTATGCATTTAACATACTGAACATCCTCACTTCCGTAGGGTTTCTACTTGGAGGTCATCCCCCAGTGAAGCTATCTCCAGATACCTAATATCAAGTAACCCCTCTTGGTACTCAATCCCCTTCCCCTCTGTGTTTTCATGGACATTCATCACCATCCGTGATTCTGTTACTTACTTGTATATGTGTGTTTTTCCCCTTTCCCCTTATTGGAATGTAAGCTATATTCCTGATGCTTAGAACACATCAGTAAATATTGGCTTGAATGAATGGATTTTCTTAATTTCTCAGACACTTATTTAGCACCTTTGAGGTGGCAGACATCATTCTGAAATCTTCATAGATATTAACCCGTTTCTGAATGGATGGTCATCCTTGCCTTTCCTTCATAAACATGTTTTTCTACGATTCTACTTTTTTTTTTTTTTTAAATAACCATTGTTTTGAGCGGCTGCAGTCCTATATCTTGGTGGAATGTTTTGTTTTTGTTTTTTCTGTTCGTAGCCTCTGGGTTATGTAACTGTTATCTTCCATCCTGGGTTCCTCTCCTTGAGGTCATGAGGATTGATCTGGTTCTCCTAATCTCCTGTCTCCTGGAATGCGCAGGGGCCCGTGTTGCCTACTCCGTATGTTCCTGAAAATATCTAAGGGAAGTCAGTGTGGAAGGGGGCCACACTATTTACAAGTCATGGCCACTTCTTCATTGGCCACGTCACCAGCTCTGAGCTGTTTACTTGTGCTCACAATGGTCTTGCTGTTCCTAGCGCATTAAAAAACAGTGAAATGTTTACATAGGACATAAATATTTAATCATTCTTCATATATATTTTACTGTCTAAGTGTTGTACGGTGTGTATTACTTCCAAAAAAGCAGAATCAACATAAATACAAACAATTTTAGTATTCTAAATTATTTCTGTCCTTAAATTTGGAATTCCCCATCTACTCAGACAATTAGTGGAGAAAGTTGTTTGTTTTCATCTTGGGCAGGACTTGATGGTGAGTTTGCAGAGGGTTGAGCAGGAGAAGGTTGAGCTGGCTTTGGTGGCTTTGGTGGCGTGCCTGGGATCCTACAAGAAAGATTTTCCGGGGAACTTGAGTAACCCGTCTGCCAGCTGTGTTGGCAGGAGCTTTGAGCAAGCAGCGTGGGGAGAGACCTTCCTGGGAGTGCTGGGAGCTAAGAGGGGGACACACAGCGCTTCTGTGCCTTCCTCAGTTGCCAGCCGTTCCCTGGCGCAGCCAAGCTCTGCTTCTGCCCCTACCGTCACAGTCACTTGGTGGAAGGCCAAGTAACCTGCCCACTGCGGTGTTTCTGGAAAACCTGCCTGGATTGACATCACAGGCATGGAGGAAACTGGGGAAGGCAGAGAGTTTCAGCTGTTGCTTCTGGGATTTTCCAGGTTGCCCTAAAACTACTTGTACCCTGAGCCGAAACCTTTCTGTTTAACTTCTGTTGTATTTATGAGTTAAAATGCAAGCTTGGGAGTGTTTCTGCACTCTTGAATGTTCCTGTGTATTCTTTACTCCACCCTGCACACCCTCTGAGGGCCTGGGGGTGCTCACGTGGCAGGGGTGGCCACCTTGCCACGAAGGGGGACTGCTGGGACTGGGGCATCTCCCGGTGGGTGTCCGAACACAGGAAACAGCTGGAGAGAGTGGCTGGTTCTCAGAAGACCTGCTGGGTATCGGCCCTGGCCTTGAGCAGTTTCTCAGGGCTGCTTTTGAACGACTCCTGTGGTTCCTGTGGCAGAAACGCCACTGCTGAAGTTTTAATTTTTTTCTAGAAAAAGAAAACATGCCATTTTCCATGGCTTATGAAAACCATCAAATTGGCACTTTTGCTTTTTTTTTTTGATGTGTCATTCTTTTTTGCAATAACATGCCATTTGTTGCCATGTAGGCAACTGGTTGATATTTAAAAACAGAATCCCTGGTCAAGAAGTTCTGCAAATATTCCAGAAAGTTTGGCATGTGTCTGTGCACACGAGAGTATGTGTGTGTATGGAGACTGCATATTTTTCATGTTCTTGATTTTTGCATCTCAGTGTTTTTGTTTTGTTTTGAGGATGAATATAGTAAAAGTGTAAAGCGAATAAATATGGAGTAGATGCCATAATGAAATTATGTTACTACCTGAGTCTGTATATAAAGCTACACAAGCTTTGGTCGACACACGGAGCTGACTTGAAATGGTTAATCCTAAACCAAATCAGTTGTGAGAGAGGAGTGCCGAGATCTGAGAAACACACGCACATTCCGTCATCAGCCTCACAGGATCGGCGGCGTCTCGTGTGCACGCCACAGCATGTAGCCAGCACTCCCCATGGCTGTTTGGAACTTTCAGGAGGACAGGCTGTCAAGCAAATGACCCGATTTTATTTTAAATCTGAGAGGGGATTTGTTTTGCTTAAAGATCACATGAATGCTATATATCCCGATAGTGAAGGGACGGTGTCCAAGGATATTTTCCAAACATTCCTGTGCAGATATGTTTCAATCTTTGAACGAATCTATAGACACAGTGAATTTATGTAACACTTAAATAAAAGAATGTTATTACGAAGCTTTGAAATATATGATCCTGTGTGAAACATGTAGTGAAACCAGATTACTTACTAAAAGCTTGGTTAGCCAGTTTCTTCACTGATTTATATCAGTGGGAGAAATATGCACAGAGGTGAACTGTGAAGTTGTAATTTGTGTGGTTTCCAAAGGATGGTTAGCACTTGAACTAATAATGTCTTTTAAGACCATCTAACAGCAATTGTCAAAATAATTGCTCCCTTTAAAAAAGATGGGTGGCACAACGAAAATGAGAAAGTTCTCTGTAGTTTACTTTTTTTTTATTGCCCTGTTCAGGATCTTGTTGCTGAAATTATACTGAGTTTGTATCATTTGTGTTGTATGTTCAGGTAACTTTTAGAAACTCTTTGTTGCTGATAACTAAATTATTGAATCCCCACCTCCACAGGTATTCACATACAAGCAGAGCACAATTACACACCAGAAGGTGACTGCGATGCACCCCACGAATGAGGAGGGTGTGGATGACATGGCCACCTTGACAGAACTGCACGGGGGCTCTATCATGCACAATTTACACCAGCGCTACAAGAGAGATCAGATCTATGTAAGTGCTGCTCCGATACCCTTTAAAAACCCCTCGTTTGTCCTTTTATTAAAAAAAATTTTTAATGACAGTTGACATTCAATATTACATTCATTTCAGTTGTACAGTATAGTGGTTAGACATTTATATAACTTACAAAGTGATTCCTCCCCCAATGAATTCAGTACTATTTTTCAAAATTATCGTTTTCAAAGAGTATTTCCTGCCTTTGGAGAGCCTGTAGTTAATCTAAGTAAAACTCTCTGTTCAGGTGTTTTGCCAAATTAGAAATGTGCTCAATAAATCATGTTCTTTGTGTTTATTGCCTTGATTTTATTAGAGGGATTACTTAAATGGAAGGGTAATTTGACCTTTCTTCATGTGAATTCGTTGTTTGTACATGTTCTGTCGTATAAAGAGTCACGAGGAGTGGTTTGACTTCCTCAATTAAGGGCCGGGGGAAATGTGGATTTGTAAACCAGTGTGCCAGATCTTAAGCTTTTTTCTCATTTTCTTGTGTTTTTCTCCTTTTATGGATTTTCTTCTTTTTTTTCTGGCTCTGGGTCCCACCCAGGGGGATATTTGGATTCAAGGGAACCCATCTCCCTTATTTGTAGGATCTGTTTTGAATGAAACATGTCCAGAAAAAGCAGACATGCACATGTTTCCCTCAACTTTCATGAAATGTGACTATTCCCGTACTGTAAAGGAATTTTTTAAACTCACTCCTATCATAACCATTTTTTTACATTAAAGTACATATATTACATTCAAAATTGATTGGTCTTGAGATTTTATCCATTTTTTTATCTGCCTGTTTTGCAGGTCTTTATACTAAACTGGGACAACCGCTTATACATGTCTGTTTTTCTGGTCAAATTCAATTTCATACAGTTTTTAATATTGCAAAAACCCTTCATCTTTGGATGATTTTTGTTCTTTCGGAGTTACATGTAACTTGGCTAATGTGTTTGTGGTGATGATGAGTGATACCAGCTTTTAGAACAACTACTAGGTGTGAACATACTCAAGGCATTCTTAGGACTTGGAACCCTCCAAATTATCCACCTTAGACCATGAGAGAAGAGTTGGGAAAGAGGAAGGAGGAGAGATTTGGGGGGTTTTAGGCTCAATTTTATTCATCTTTTTTAGAAAGTATGTTTATTTGCCTTCTCTTTACATTGTGAAAGTGTCACTTTTGCCAGATTCACCAAATGTTTGCCAAATGTTTTCAAACAACCTTGTCTGAGAAACTGCCTCGTGTTGTAGTCCTCTGACTTGCTGAGTTTGCTTATGCTAAGTTTTCAGATTTGAAATATTTTCCATGTGTTCTTCAGGAAAGGTAGCATTCATGCGTGTTTACGTATAAGTATCCTGCCTTGCATGTGCTGGTGTGCGCTGATGCCTCTGCTCCCGTCTCAGAAACCTCGTGGGCGACATGAACTCCCTCTTCCCAGGGAACCCGCTGCACAGGTGTCTGAGTTACCATGTACCGTACCTGTGTTGTTAGTAGTATGCATTCGACAATTCCATGTAGCCATTTGTTTACATAGCACTTTCCTTCCTTGGTTTGTCCAGGACTTACTTATTTTGTCTTTCTGGAGCCAAGGACATTCCCAGGCACCTGGTAGTTGTGCAGTAAATGTTTGTAAAATAAATGCCATACAGCCCAGCTGGTGTGGCTCAGTGGATTAAGCCTCGTCCCATGGATCAATTCCTGATTCGATTCCTGGTTGGGCACATGCCTGGGTTTCTGGCTCGATGCCCAGTAGGGGGCATGCAGGAGGCAGCCGATCAATGTTTCTCTCTCACATTGATGTTTCTCTCTCTCTCTTTCCATTCCTCTTTCTCTAAAATCAATACAACACATTTAAAAAAATAAATGCCATACATATTAGAGAGAACCAATTCTAGTTGGCAAGGACATGTGAAGCTCGATTGAAAAACTTTTTATTGGTGTACGTGTCTTGTAGGTTAGTACTTCAGAACTCATATCTTTCCATGCAAGTTCTTACTATGCATTTAATAGTCCAGAAAAAGTAAGTAATTAGGAGGAAATAAAAACTACCCAATGGATTTAAAAGACAGCCTTATAACAGTTTTTTTCCCCTCCATGATGATGATGTTAAACCTAATAGCTAAATTGCCTAGTAAACCCTGTGAATAGGATCTTGGTTTGTGAATAGGATATTGTTTGTTTGTTTTCCCCTGAAATGTTTTTCCTTCTTTGAGGGAAAAACACAGGATTTTTGAACATCCAATTTGCAGTTCAGATTAGTTCATTTTGCCCTATCTGCCTTCCTTTTGAGACTTGGATAACTGTGTTATTATCCATAAAGCAGCCACCATGCTTTCCGTGTCATCGCTGAAGCTGCTGGCAGTGGGTGCCAGTACCTGTCAGACTGCCCCAAAGAGACAAAGCCAGCACCTGTCACAGAGGCATGGCTTTCCCGCCTTTTATCCCAGCATTGTGATGCCCGTCTGTATGTTTACGAGGGAAAAGATGGCTTCACTTACAACATGGGTGCTGTGTTCTTGTTAGCCGTTCTGGAGGTTCTGGGGGAGGATCTGCTTCCTGCTCATTCCGGTGCTGGTGGAGTCCAGCTGTTGGCAGTCGTGGGACTGATGTTTTCTTGATGACTGTCAGCTGAGGACCGGCCCAGCTTAGAGGTCCCCTCCCTCCACCTTCAACGCCAGCAGTGGGGGATTGAATCACTTCAGGTTTCAGATCTCTCTTCTTCCTTTTCATGTGTCTCTGCAGCTATGAAAGGTTCTCAGCTCTTAAGGATTCATGCGATTAGAGTGGGCTCGCTGTCTCAGAGTTGACCATGTTGGCCACTTCAGAGTCCTTTGGCTGTGTAACCACACAAGTCATGGGTTCTGGAAATTTGGCGTGGACATCGGGGGGTGGGAATGTGTTTCTCTGCCTGCCATAGGGGCCCTCCTTTGGGTCATGTTATTGAGGAGAAGCTCCGTGGGTTTGTACCCCACTCTGGGTCTTGCGTTATTTGTTGGCTTTCTGGTCTGAACTGGCAGGTTACACAGGTCGCTGGTGAGGGGACCCATCTCCAGGTAGAGAGGTCAATTGTTCTGTGTTAAGAAGGACCATTGGCTTTATTCTCCTTGGGGACCACCCTTAATGCCTGAGGACTTTACGGACCCCAGTAGAATCTGTTTTCCAGCCTCTGGCATTCTCTATGAAAATTGAGTAGAGAGTGGTAGAGGGATAAAGCATTCACCAGCCATCATATCAGGGTTGAGTCCCCTTTTCTCCATTCACCTCCTCTTGGGCTCTGTGTTAATTACTTCATCTATTTGGGTGTCATTTTTTAAATTTATTTATTTTAATGGTCAGCTGCCATTACCCCCATACCTGACAGGGCTGTTTGAAAATGAAATGACAAGAGAGAGCTTTAGAAACTTTGTTAACCTTTGCACCTTTCTCCCCACCTCAGCTGATACCACCAGGTCTTTATCTAGAAAGCTCCCTCCTGGCACTTGGCACCATGTCCTCGGGGCATAGCGGCTGTGCAGACTGTGAGGTCAGTGCCTGCTGGACCTGCTGGGCTCTGACACCTGGATCAGAGCAGATGCCCTGATGCTGGGTTTCCTCCCTGGAACTCCAGGTTCCTCACGCTTAAGGCTTCACCTTTTCAGCCTTTCCCACCCTCTGGCGACTTCCCAGGCGAGAGGCCAGCTCAGCACTTCAGCTCCCCACCTGGGAGCCCATCCCAGACTTCCACCTGGAATCTCTTGCCTCTGGGCTTCCTGCCTCAGAGGCTTGCCCCTTGGAGATGATCTGATGGGTGCCCCACCCTCCTCTGTCTCTCCCTGCCACTGATAAGACCTGCTGAAGACAAGTACGTACTCACATCTGTAAGTTCCTAAAGACTGGGAGTGGAGGGGCGGGTATGTGTTCGCGGTACAAAGAGCTGATAGGTGGGTGAGAGCCTGAGCTGGCTGTGAAAAGCCCTGCGGGGCAGCGGCCGTACTGATACAACGGAGAGCTGGTTAGAAGGAGAGACCAGTGAGAACCATGCACGAAGAAGGACTGAGAGTGAATTTGGTGCGGTGGCCTCTCTAGATTGGGAGAAGGGTCTTTGCTTATGGAATGTGGTGTTTGTTGGGGAGCTCTGGGCAATGATATTGATATATAGATATAGATACAGATATAGATATATAGGCAGGCTGGGGTTGGGACACCCCAAAGCAGTGGTTCTCAAGCAGGTGATGCTGTCCCCCAGGGGACATTTGGCAGTATCTGGAAGCATATTTGCTTGTCATAGCTACGGCAGAGAGTGCTAAAGGAATCTGGTAGGTGGAGGCCAGGGATGCTGCTAAACGCCCCACAGTGCAAGTGCAGCCCCACAACCAAGACTTGCCTGGTCCCAGATGTCAGAAGTGCTGAGGCTGAGGAACCTGCCTGCCTTAAAGCTAGTCGGCAAAGTTTGGGCTCAGTGGTGTACAGACTACGCCATCTTGGTTAAAGGTTTGTGAAGAGAGACTTTCCCAGAGAGAGATTTTGGAAGAGGTGACAGGGAAGTGACACGAGATGAGACACTATGAGTTGGCTTACAGAGCGTTGCACTAATCCAGGGGTCAGGAGCTGAGGGGGTTAGACAAAAGTATACATGGTCGTGAGCAAGACACGAACAGATATGAGGGGTGTGGGGGAGGAGGTGAAGGAGAAAGGATTCGCTTTAGTAACTCCCAGCTTTGTCAAGCCCAGATGGGCCTGAGAACATGGTGCTGATGGTCCGGCAGCTCCGGGAGGGGAGGGGGGAGGGGAGGGGAGGGGGAGGGAAGGGGGGAGGGGAGACAAGTTGGGTTTTGGATACCTGACGTACTGTGCTCTCTGGGCCTGGATCATTTAAAATTGCTATGTACCCAGGACCTAAACAGTGTGGTATTGAAGGTGAGCCCCGTGTCCAGAGTGCAGGCATTGCCAACAGGACCCGTGGTATGGCCTTTTCTGATTTTGCCGAATGGCAGAGAAGCCTGTTCTGTCTGTCATAGGGTTT